CTTATAAATTACAGCATCCAGTTCTTTTCATTGAAAAAGATAAAATAATGAATTAATAGATTCTATATGAACAACAGGAAAACAAGTGTGACTGATAAAGGACTCCCTATTTTTACTCCTTGATTTTGTGGAGGTTGTTGGTAATGGAAAAAGTGAAAATACGAAGACTATGGCAGCTCTCTATTTCTTTAAGAAATGCCACTGTAGCATTGTGTGGAAAGGTGGTGTGGAGAGAGAAAGGCCCAGGGAGGGAAAGAAGTAGCGATTATTTCAGTATTGTTTCCTGTTTCTAGACTATGCATATCTCAGTCTCATCCTTACACCATCAGCTTTTCTTTATTTTAGGAACTCTCTGTGGCATAAAGGCGAAATTAAAAGAAAGAAGTTAAAGTTCAAGGCAATTTTGTTATTTTTCAGCTGCTCTTAAAAGTTCAACATTTCACAGGTTAGGGCTATCACATGTTAATAGATTAACAAGTGTCCATTGTTTCTAATCACTATAGTCCCAGATTCATTTCATCATCAAGAATGTTTGGGAGACGATACATTCCCTCTGCCTTTCTTACCCAACACACTTAGTCTCACTTTTACAGCATTTTTTTAAACTTCTTTTCTATTTGTTTCTTTGGGTCTTATTAAACCCATACCACTATTAAAGCCATACCACTAGCCCCTGTTTGAGTTTTATTAGTATGTTTTGGGGGTTTATAAGCTTTATATATTTATAACCACAACATATTAGTATGTTTTGGGGGTTTATAAGCTTTATATATTTATAACCACAACATATATGCTGGTATTTGCACTTTTCTGGAAAATATATCTATAAGGCTCACCCCATACTAAATTAATAGTAATGATAATACTTTTTAAAAATTCATGTCTTGTACTAACTTAAGGACAATTGGAGAATACGACTTCTTTTCTGGTTTAAGCAACCAGACATCAGGGACTATATCCCTTACTGAAATGGATTCCTATTAAGCACTTGAAATCTGTCTTCCCATAAACTCTATTCAAGAGATAAATGCATGTTACAGTACCTAATTCATTGCACCCAGGCCTTACCACTAGCAGGTTAATTAAGAACATGGATGGACACTTAATTTGCTTTTGATAGAAGAAAGTTATTTAATGGAGCAGTAGTCATTTACTCAGTTTCTTTCCCATTCAAGTTTTATCAGCTGTAAAGAAATTAGAAGATGATTGAAGGGTTCAAATTGTCTTTAGATAAATCCCTAAGGAAAAGAACAAATATATCCCTCCTGCTTTGGACAATAAAAGCTTAAATAACTGAATAACAAAAAATAACTTATTAGCATCTTTATAAAGATCCTTCACTCAATCATTTGCTTATTTAAAAATATTAATCCAAAAGGGAACATGTGACAAGCCTCTGTGATAAAGTTGTGAGTCTTAACTCTAACGAATAATCTAAACAAGAAGAAAAAAGTTACTGCACATAAAATAACAAACAACTAGCAACATTTCCTTCATTGGAAAAGAGAAACTTCTATGGTTAAATCTCTAGATTGTTTGAGTTGCCCAAGAATCAACCCCTGGAGGAGAATCAAGAGCACAATTATCTCATGGTCTCTTTAAATACATCTCACCATAACAAGATAATATCACCAGGTAGCATTTTTAAATTTACATGGCCATACTAGCAAAGTAATTAATAATACTAACAGTATGATTATGATGGAACCAGTAATACTAATCACTGCTTCTAATGTGTGGAGAAGTATATATACTATTGAATTTTTATAACTACAATAAAAATATCTACTATTGGGGATACAATTTAATATTTCTATCTCTTTATTTAAAATACCATCAATAACTAACCAGATAGATATGTAAACATAAACACCTTATATTTTTTTCATTCTGTATATGTTATGTATTTATTGGTTCATGTGTGTGTGTGTATGTGTGTGTGTACATATATGTATGTGATATGTATTTGTATAAGTGTGGATACAAATGCCATGGGGGGGTTGTGGGGATCAGAGGACAACTTTTGAGTCAGTTCTCTCCTTCCACGTGTGTTTTGAGGACTGAACTCAGGTTGTCAGGTTTATGTCATAAATACTTTGACCCACTGAGTCATCTCACTGGCTTTATTTATTTATTTATTTATTTATAACATTTTAATGTTAATATAATTTAA